AAAAATGTATTTAAATCTCTTGGACTCCATAAACACATCTTTGGACACATTGTTTATTATATAACACTTTCCTCTCGGCTTTTGATCCATTTTGTAGTAAAGAGTTCCCGTCATTGGACTCTTAGATACCTGAAAGCTGTATATATATATTTAGGATATAATTATTAAATGATTAATACAATTAAAAAAATTAAAACATGTAAACATTGTGTATAAGTTATAAATACTAACGGTATTTGTGGATCTGTAAACTCTGGACCCGAATCGTTAAAACTTTGCATTTGGTGTCCTTTGGATGTATTGTGTCGGACGAGTTGGTCGGCGGCCTCTGTCTGACCCGATTCGCGCAATAGTCGTATCAATTCATCGCAAGTACTTCGCGATCGCGTGAACTCAACCAAAATAAAGACCAACTTTTCGCACTCACTCTCTAATTGCTGTCACAATTTAATTGCAATTCAATTAATTAACTATATTAATCATTGTACAATTAATTCACTGACCATGACCACTTTTTGCATTTCATCCCGGAAATATGGATGTTGTTCAAGATCGGCCATGAGTTTGTCATTTAGTTTAACAATGTATTTAAACTTGATAAAATCACTGAAGTATTCAGCGCGATTAATTGTTTTCTCCATCCCTTTAATTTAGTATTCGTTAATTGAAAATTCAATTAACAAAACATGTTCAATTAAATGTAATACGTTAAATATTTATAATTTTATAAAGTACTTTACATTACTTTATATGACATTACATTACTTACACGTTATAATAAATATACAGTATAATTATATTTGATAATATACCATATAATCAATGTTATTTAAACTATGGTTACACTGATTAATACATGAAATGCATTTTAATATCGTTATTATAATAGTGATAAAAGAGTTATAAAAATAAAAAACAGCTATCTAAATTAAATATTTATGTTTAATTGCAATAAATATAAATAATTTTGCATTTTATAATATTTTTTTGTATAAAATTACAAGGTTATTTACTTTAGATTATTCTTAAACTATAGACCTGTACACTAAAAATATTAACTGTTAGGATATTATATAAATGCATACATTGTACAATAATATCACAAAATACTGTCTTATTACATAGATGTTAATGCTATTTTACCTTTTTATGCCTTGTGGGAAAAGGATTTAAATAATTTAATTATTCAAAGTAATCTTTATAAAATAACATTATATTTAATTTTTCTTGCTATAACAATAGATTTACAAACATTTTATAATTACAAATAATTTTGAGATACACTTTCTGAGAAAAAGCCAACATTTTATTAAAAAAGTTACAAAATAAGTCAATATTTTAAAAATATGTTAAAATACAATATAAAATTTATTACTAGTCTATGGATTGAAGTAAAGATTACGTGTGAGTCCTTTACTCCTAAACTCGGTTGGATTGAAGTCCGTCTGTTCAGCAAATAATTGCAACAAATTGTACGTCTATTGAAAACAATATGAGTTAGAATAAAAGTAAATATACTGTACAATAAATTGTGATAAATACACACAATTACATTTACTTACCCTGATCATTATCGTTGATAACGGCTCTTCGCATGAGTATTGAGCGATGCAATGGCTTAACGACTGTCCGAAGTAAGTGATGCCCAGAAGAGGATTAAACCACGTTTTGAGTCCTATTATTAGTGCAGTAACATTGTATTTATTATATAAACAATTATAACTGTACAATACCTTTGGCACAAGAATAGGAAACAAATGTGTTGGCGTTGTTGTCAACCCATTTCTTGTTCAACGACTCCATGGCCGGCACCTCATCTGGTTTGGCCAAATCCCGGCGCTTGGCTTCCGGTTCGGCGCACGTATCGTTTGTTCCCAGCACTAAAACCAATGAATATTATATCGTGATTATGAAAATTTGATCATTTAATGAGATGTGTTTCACCATTTCTACAACACGTAAAGAAGAACAGTTTCGGGCATTTGAAAAGTTGGGGACAATTCTTAACGGAAAACGTGTCCACAATATCGACAATGTTCTTCACGTCTGTGTCCACCACTACCTGGGCTTTAGTGTCGTTGGGGTTACGCTCCAGTGCTTCGAGCGCTTCGCACGCCTTCACACCCAATACACGCTCTTTTAATCCGTGGCTTATAATCATTACTGCAAACGCTTGCGACGAGTTGTCCGCCTCTTTGGCCATCACTTGTAAATTGTCGATAATTTCTATTGCAGTCCAATCGTAATGCTCTTCCACTTGAAAGTGCAGTTTTTCAAAAATGTATTTAAATCTCTTGGACTCCAGAAACACATGTTTGGACACATTGTTTATTATAATACACTTTCCTCTCGGCTTACGATCCATTGGGAAGGGAAGGCTTCCCTTCATTGTATCTCTTGATGGCTCAACTCTATGCAATGAAAACTCAATATAATAAAGCTTTATATAAAGTACAGGGTATTTCAAAATTTTGCTTAAAAAGTTGTTATTAAAGTTTCATAATTTACAGCTCTAAAGTAAATATGAAATATTTTCTTAGAATTTATATTTAATATATTTTTAGTGCACTATTTGTGCAGATATTTTAAATATAATTGAATTTTTAAAAATACTAGTTTTCATTAAAGTTAAGTGAAAAGTAAATTTTTTTATAAACACTTTACACAACTTATCAAGAAAAATATCTAAAAACAACGCCCTCATACTCAGCATACGTGATTCACGCTCTGTATTAACTTATAATGATAAATATGAATATAAATACAAAAAGCATGATGGATAATAATTGATTAGCATTAATACTAACGGTATTTCTGTGACCCAAAACTCTGGTTCCCACATATTGTAATCCTTAATATTATGTCCTTTAGATGTATTGTGTTTAACGAGTTGGTCGGCGGCCGCTGTCTGACCCGTTTCGCGCAATAGGCCTATCAATTCATCGCAAGTATGTCGCGATCGCGTAAACCAAACCAATATAAATATCAACTTTTGACCATCGTCATCTAATTTCTGACATATTTATACATATGTATGCATTTTAATTAATCTATTGTATTAATTATGTACATAAAAAAATTAATAAACTCACCTCGACTACTTTTTTCATTTCATCACTAAAATTGCGATGCTCTCGAAGTTTCACATAAAGTTGATTTAGGTTATTTAAGTCGATCAAACTTTTAATCTCGATAAAATCACGAAAATATTTACTACGATTCTTAATTTTTTCCATCTCTTAAAATTATATAAAACGTTATTTAAATATCCTGTTTATGTTATTTAAAATATATTAGAATAACATTTAACAAAATGCTTTAGAAATGAGATAATGTGTGACTTGTATTATGGTTATATAACTTATAATTTATAAGATAGTAGTACTTATATTAAATATACATATAATAGCTATGGCAACGAGATATTTAATGAAATGCAGAATAATTTTTATATGTTGTTACTAATAATGATAAAAGAGTTAATAAACTAAAACCAGTTATTAATTATCGTTAAGTTATAAATATATGTTAAATTACTTGTTAAAGTTTTTAATAAATTTTATATAACCAAAAAACCAAATCCCTGATAGAAAATACTAAATAGATTTTGCATTTCTATAATAGATTTAATGCATATTATTTACCTAAAAGTCACCAAACAATAACTGTTGTATCAAACATGGGGGCTCATAGGTTTGGGTGTCCTCCACGAGCCCTCCTGTGTCACCCATAGGCTGACCATAAAATTTTGGTCAAAGGGAGGACAAAATGAGAAAATCTCCAAATCTGGGGAGGACGCTATGTTTTAGTGTATAAAATTATAGTTATACTATTACCATTGCTATATTATAGCACTTAATAGAAAAATGAATGTTATTTAATCATTTGTATTGCAAATATTTGAATAATTACTA